ATCAATTTCCAAAAAATAGGGAAATAGGATAAAACAGCATTCCTGAGTCTTGCTGTTTCCCTGTATGTCCCTTTGTATGTTCAACTCTGCTGCACATATCCTTTCCATCCAGCCAGGCCCAAGCCAGTTAGATTGCCTTGTGTATCAGGAGACTGTCCAGACCCTGCTGTCCTGGGATAAAAGAAAGAAAATTCTCAAGATTGCAAGGTTGCAAATGACATGCTTTTGTGTCACCCACCTCCATAGCTGTGTCCCTGCCTGGCCTAAGACATGCACCCAAAGCTTCTGCTGCCTTTTCATCTCTAACTTGCTGGTTTATTTGTGTGACCAGTTTTTTTCAATTACAGGCAGACCTGCCTTACAGTCCTCTCTCTCTGGTTGAGGCTGGAGAGTGGCTGATGTGGGACAAATCTGCCCTTTCCTTGCTTTGGTCACAAAAACCATGTGGGAACAACCCTTAAGGACTCTGATTCCAGCAGAAGGGTGCTGGGCTCAGGTAGGGCAGTGCATATGTAACATGCTTCTTTAGATCTATCTAAATTTAAATGATCTAAAATCTATCTAAAATTAAAATTATCAAATATTTAGGTGTTGTCATTTTCATCAGAGACCAATTAATGTTTTAAAGCTTCGGTTCGCTTGGTGCTTCTCCAAGAAAACACAGCAGACTTGAGCGAAGGGAAAGCAGCATTGTTACCTACATGAATGCTGCTAAATGCCAAGTGGCTCTTTGTAGCTTCTGGGCACAGACTGGCCCAGAAACAGTGGGAAGGGGAGTGCAATGGTTGTGGTTATGAATGTGTAAGTGAAGGTATGGAGGCAGAGAGGGAATGAAAATTGATTTCTTGGTCCCACTTTGCCTGCAGTTGTGCATCTGATGGAGGAATCTCAGCCTTTAATGGGTTGTGTGAATCAAAATAAGTAACAGACTGGTTTTCTTACTAGAGACTAGGCACCTAGGAGTCCACCCATAATGCCCAGCCACAGGATCGATCCAGGCTGTGATCCTGCAAAGAAATGCAATGGGATAGCATCACATTTCCAGAGTTTTAAGTTTGGAGATATCACCTACTGCTTCAGAAAATGTAATGGAAATGGAAAGATATTCAAAATCCTGAGGACGGAGGGAGACCATGAAATGACATAGCAAGATGGGTGGGATACACATTGTCAGGTGAGAAAAGGAAGCAGCAAGAAGAATGGTCAGTGCCGTGGCAGAGAACAAGCCAGAGAGATGTGGCAGCAAGAGGTGAGGTCAAGTCACACAGAGATGGGGGAAAAGCAGCATTGTCCGGGAGCCAGGATGGATGGAAGGAGCAGCAATGAAGAGGGAAATAAGGAGTTGAGTGGGCAGAAGCTGTTCGGACTACTTGACCATGGACATCGCATGGAGATGGGTGCTCCTTCCTTCCTACCCTCCAGGCTGGCCACAAGGAGCTTATGAAGCCCAAGGACTATGGCTGCATATCAGGAAGGATGTGGTCAAGAGAAGCACAGAAACCTTGGATGAGTTGACTGTCCTCAATGCTGGAAGATGGAAACACAGATTCAAGGGAAAAGGTACTGGCACTAAACAGTTATACCACCACCGGGGAGTTTGGATTTCATGGGTAAGGCAGACACAGCTTCACCCCCTCCTCCAATGAACCCCGCCAGGGGACCAGCAGCAGGTCGCAGTGGCCAGAGGCCCAGGACACAATCAAACTCCACCTTTGTGATTCAGCTTTGCAACTGCTTGTGTTCTCCATTGCAGCACACTGTTGACTGATATGCATGGAAATGTGGTGGTGGTAGCCCTGAGCTTGGCTGCAGGGTCTCCTCGAAGGAGCAGGAGAACTGATGGCAGGGATTTTATCAGGGACATTATTTTATCTACACATTTCACCTGACATTATTTCATCCTATCTCGTGTCATCTAGTGTCACCTTCTAAATCCAAGCTTCAGTATGCAGTTATCTAAAAAAAGAAGCAATTCTCACATGTAAGAGACTAGAAACTAGATTTCAAAGCATGAAACCCCAGTAGGTTCATACTTGGTCACACCTTGGCAATTAGAGGCAAAGGTGATGACAGTTAACTCAGAGCCACATGAAGCTTTATGCCTTCAAAAACATCAATAGTGTTTTATACAGAAAAAAAACCCACACAGCCTCATTTTGAATAAGATTAACATTTACAGGAAGTGACATTTGCCATGATGACATGAGCCACAAACATTTTGCCCTAATAGCACAGGAGGGCATGTGTAATCCTCATAGAGGCAACAAGATTCCCAGCTCCTTACAGATGCCTGTACAGCCATTCCCACTGACCTGTCCTAAGTTTTTCCTGGTGTTGAATTGATCTTTGGTCCTCCCTTCAATTAGTTTACTATTTTCTAGTTTAGCTTCTCTATCATTCTATCTTATTTAAACTACATCCTGTACATTTTTTGGTTTTTTTGAGCTTTACATATTTCCTAGGAGACTTTCTAGACTTCAGCTAGATGGGGCCTCTCTTCTTTCCTTTGGCTCTACTCACTGTGAGGAGAGTAAGAGCCTCCTCTGTTCTCTTTGGACAGGTTTCCAGCACTTGTAGGATGGTTTATCTGGAAGGAACATTTAATATTTTTCCATGATGCAACAGACACCATAGACAAAGATATAAGTATCTTCACTACTGAAGGAGAAGCAAAAACTTAGAAAATGCTCTCTCCATCCCTTTTTTAGACCAAGATAGAAGGCAGAGCTTAGGCACTCTCCCCACCCTGTCACCCTTGACCTTTCAAGAAGTCTTTGATCTCCAAGTTCTTTCTTTTACAGGGCCACAACAGCCAGAAGGGACCTCTGGCAGTCTTTGGTCCAGCACCCCACCAGTTTAGATCAGTTCATCAGCACCTTCTCCAGTTCCAAGTGACCTTTCTCCAAGGATGTAGATCCCACATTCACTGGGGTTCTTAACCACCCTCCCAGGTGCTTGCTGAGCCATGCTGAAACCTTTAGCAAACAAACACTAGAGAGGCAGGCAGGAAGGGAACTGCACTCACTTGGGTTGTCCTTTGGGCCCTGCTCATCTGGGACTGTCTCTGGACAGATGGTTCTCCATGAAAGATAGTGTTTGAGGTTGCCCACAGTGAATGCACACAGTCAGAAAAAAATTTGCACTACTAACTTTTTTGAGGTTCTTCCTCCTCTGTCCTGAGCTTTTCCATCTCTCACACGTAGGAAATTCTTCCTGAGAGGAACTCAGGACTGTACAGGATGTAACAGCCTTTAACACCTCTGTGTACCATGCTAGAAAGGGCATGTGTAAGTGCTCCCTGCCTGGTGGCTACTACTGACGGAAAACAAGCCTCCATTGTAAACACATACTTGACGGAACATCTGACCTTCCTTTTCCTGGTAAGCAATTGTCTTGCCCCAGGTGTAAATACATTCTGTAGAAACACATACATGCATAACTTAAAACCTGCTTTGACACAGGCAGGACTGGCAAGGGAAGAAAACCACATTGCGGCCTCAGGGGAAGAACTTCCACATTCACACAGCTTCTCCCGGTTCCCTTGGCCAAACCTTGTGTCCCTTGCACAAGTGTATTGAGAGTCAGCAGCTGTAGTTGGGTTTTGAGGCTGCTCTAGCATGAGTCCATAGTGTTTGTGAGTTTCTCATCACTTTTAATGCTGTCACGTTTGCCTCCGAAAACATCAGCCAGTGCTCTTGACCTGAAGCGACGTTGAGTTTTGCCTGGTGATGTTTTGACTTGTTGGGTGGCTCTGACCCCCACCAGATATGACAATGACTCCTCGCTGATCCCAACCACTCCTGTGGGACCGGGGTTATTTCCACGCCACAGGGTGCAGATGGGAGAAGGCTTTCCAAAAGGGCAGCCTTGACTTCATTTGGACAGGGCGATCAAGGAGGCTGGAAAACAGCTGATGGATTCTGATGGATTTAGCACTGGAATAACTACTGCCTCTTTTAAAAATAGCAATTCCCAAGTCCATGGGTGTCAGGGGTAGCCTTGCCCCGGGCCAGCCCGGAGCAGTGCTGAGCAGAGGTCACTCAGGTCGCCCTCATCATTCTCCTCCGGTTCACTGCTGGCGTTGGAGGGGTTGCTGCTGGGCAAGCTGTGGCCATAACCTGTCCTCAGTGATGCTTGTCCCTTTGAGTCCATGCTCGGTGCCGACCCGTCCCAGAGGCACACATCTGCACTGGCACAAGTTATCTGGTAGTCTGGTTGGGAGTAATTAATCTGTCTGAAAAATTGCCCTAGCAGAGATTTCTGGAGGGTTGTTTGAAGGCTTTCACAAGTCCTCTGCTTTGTTCTCAGCTGGGTGTAATGCAAATCCAACTGCAGGACCACGTCGGTCTGGAAAGGGAGAGCAAAGGCCACAACATGAATTGTGAATCTGAGGCTAAGACTCCAAGCAGAGCTTTTCCACTACTTGGCTGGCTGTTCTGCAGGCTCACAGCCCCATGCTGTGGCGTAATGGAGCAACGCTACTGCCAGAGAAAATGAGCTGTTCCATACACTCATGACGTTTGTGGGCCTCAGCCACGGTTTCTGGATTTCACGACTTCTCCTGAAATTGGGCCACCTCATTCGAGAACTCATCAGCCCGGTCAGGGCGCTGTCGCTGAGAGCATCACCCCCAAGATGCTGGCAAAGGGGAGCAGGAGGGGAGAGGGACTGCACCCAAGCAAACTGCACCCATGTGAGGAACAGCCATCCTGGCTGTGGCATGGGACTGCTGCACACATGAGAGGAAAGCACGTGAGGGAAGGGATAGGAAAACTAAAAAAAACTTAAAACACATATCACATGGTAAAAGCCAACAGTTTTAAACAGCAGCACTCCACAGGGATCCATTCACAGCTAGCACTGTTTTAGATTTTTATAAAAGATGGTGAAGAAATGATAAAATAATCGTATTTGTGGCAGCCAGATCCTGAACGTGAACCCCTAGCACAGGGCTGTGCCTGAGCCGCCTGGCTGTACAAAGCAGGGAGAGATATAATGGAGCAAGAAGAAGATTTTGGCAGGCAACACAGGGGCCAGATCTCATGTCTGCACTTAAAAGCAACGCTGAACACTTGGGATGGGTTCAGAAAACAGCTCCAGGAACAATCAAGGACTTAAAGAGCTGCCATATGCTGAGGCATGTCACGCACTCAGCAAACAGAGCTTGTTGTAGGCAGATCCAGGCAGCAGCTCGAGAGCAACGTTTGGTGTGAGCCTGTATGGAGCAGAGCAGATAAGCAGCTGGCAAGATCCACAGGCTGGGTGTTAAAGGGCAGGGGGAGAAAAGCAAACAAGACACAAGGTGCACACTACTATTTGGGGAAAGATGCTGGAAGAGACAAATAAAGGTACTAGCAATTCTGCGTCTCTTGAGGTCTTTAAATAGTTCAAGGGTCTTTTGAAGTGTGCCAAAGAGACACAGCTTGGATCAGGCTTGGTAGTGTCAACCTGACGGCTGGATAAACCCTCCCACCAATGGGCGAATCCATCTCTCACGCAAGCACACAGTTTAGTGAGACATCCTTCATTTGAAATATTTGGGCTAGTCTGATCTCCCCTAGGCTGATAAAGGCAAAGAACAGCCTCCCTGGCTGGTCAGCACAGAAAACACAGTGAATCAAGAGAAAAAGGATGCTCTTTTGTGCCTTGAAGATCAACAAGCTCCTCTAACATCAATCTGAACGTTCCACTGACACACGCCAAGTATTGTCCACGTGGAGTCTCAAGACACACAGAGAGGCATATCCAGCTTGAGCCAGTGGTGATGGGGACTACCAGTTATGTAAGGGTGCAGGAGAACCATGGAGATTTGAACCTGGCAGCTCTCTACCTGAATCTTCTGTAGTCCACAGAGCTGGAAGACACAGTCCACCTCCTCCCGCTTGCACACGGAGGCGAGCAGAGACTCCACGTGGTCCAGGCGACTATCCTTCAGGGTGGTCACATCATCCATCTCCTGGGTCAGAAAAACAAGAGCAAAGGCAAGGAAGTTTCAGCATCAGCCTGGGCATGGAGGTGCAACTGCCCATGAAACGTGCTGCTTCCCTGCACTCAGAAGGGCTGGCCCATGGCCTTGACATTTTGCTGGGTGGAAATGCTGCTTATACTCGTGTGAGTATTACAGCATGCAAGGAGCAGAAACAGAGATTTTACACACTCGCCTTGTGTCTATCAACAGGGAGCCCTATTTGATCATCCCCCGAGTGCAGCTACTGGGAAACCTGAGGTAGAATGAGATTTCCAGCAGAGTGGAGAGCAGCAACACCCGGGATCACAACCATTTGTAGCGTAAGCGGTGTGTCGAGGAGGGAGCAAGTTTTCCAAGGGCATGACTAGAGGAAGCTCTGAGGTGCACCCGATGCCAGGTTAGCCTCCTACCACCTACAGAACTGTCAATTCTTGCCGCATTAAACCTATCCAAAACAGCCACATCTCTGTGAGATCCTCTTCAGTAACAATCATACCTTGGAGCCACCAATAGCACAAGAAGGGACAAGGGAATAAGGGTCTTATGAAATGGCATCTTGCTTTGGATTAGAGCCCTCTAAGATGGGTGACAGCCCACAGTCCACCAGCCCCTTCCATGAGAAGGTGCATTCCTCTGCCAGCTGGCTCTGGCAGCTACCACAGTGTGTCCTGCTGGCCTGGCTTGGCCAACACTAGGATGTGCAGCCACTGATAAAGCCGATGGTGCACAAGGAAGGTTCAACCCTTGCAAAACTTCCTTGCTGTTGGCAGAAGTTGCGCTGGGCATGATGAGGAAGGAGGCCAAAGGGCATTGCAGAGAGGCAGAGGTTAGAAAAGCCCTGGCAGCTCTTGCTAGCCTTTACAGACCTTCCTTGAACTGCTGCTTGCAAGCGGCCAAAGCAATTTGTTTCTGGTCAGGAGAATATTGCGGATAGAAACTAAAATGTTGGATTGCAAATGCTGGCTGACATCTGGAGGCATCAGGGTCACCTCTGCTTGCAAAGCTGGAAGAACAGGAGCAAACACCACTGCTGATCCAGTAGGTCCACTAGAGGCAGGCTGAAGAGATCCCATTTATCTCCAAACAAAGCAAAGCCAAATCCCATCTCTGCACTTGGCAACTCATTACTGGAAAGATAAACCAGAGGGAGCTTAGGGGAGATCAGGGCAGTGAATGGAGCTGGCAGAAAGGGACACAGATGTGCCAGGAGACGAGGCTGCAACTCAGAGCATCTTCTGCAAACGAACACTGCCCTCTCCTGCCCTGCCCCACCACAGCACATACCCGCTCCCAGCTACCCTGATGCCCTCACTGCTGTGCTGAGACCAGCAGCCAGGTTAAACTAAACCTGGAGACCAAAAAGGGAGGCATGAAGCAGCCTGGGTGCCTATAACGTGGGACTGCAGCAGGAGGACTGCAAGGAGGAGCAGCGTGGCCTTACTGTGTCCTCCAACACCTGCTTAAGGAAGGACAGAGTGTATGTGCCACCAGCTCTGCCCAGGGGGAGCAACTGGGTTTAAGCTAGCAGGGGAGGGATGCTCAGATCTGTGCTAATGCTGCAGTCTCTCCTCCCAAACGTCTGTTGATTGCTCTGCAATTTTGAGGCCCTTGAGGTTGGGCCACCCTTTTTTTCAGCCAAAAAAAAATACTCAGAGTACTACAGACATGACTAGCACAAACTCAACAATCATAGAATCTGAATCATACAATGGTTTGGCTTGGTAGGGACCTTAAAGACCATCTAGTTCCAACTTCCATGCCATGGGACATCTCTCACTAGACAAAGTTGCTCAAAGCCCCATCCAACCTGGTCTTGAACACCTCCAGTGATGGAGCATCCATAGCTTGACAGGACAAGGGGAGATGGTCTTAAACTGAAGGTGTAGACTACATCTATCTAGGTCTTAAACTAGAAAGTGTAGGTGTAGACTACATCTTAGGAAGATGCTCTTCAATATGAGGGTGGCGAGACTCTAGAATAGATTGCCCAGAGATGTTGCAGATGCCCCCACCCTGGAGGTGTTCAAGGCCAGGTTGGATGAGGCCTTGAGCAACCTGGTCTAGTTGAGAGGCATCCCTGCCCTTGGCAGGGAGGTTGGATTAGATGATCTCTAGGGCATCTTCCAACCTAAGCGATTCCACGATTCTGTAATTTTCTGCTGCCCTCCTCTAGACCTACTCCAGCACCTGATATCTTATACTGAGGTGCCCAAACCTGAACACAGTGCTCAAGGTGTGGCCTCCTCAGCACTGAGTACAGGGGGATGTCCCTCTGGGTATCAGCACAACTCTCTGGTGCATCAGTCACTCCTCCCAGTTTGGAGCCAGCAGCACACTTACCGAGGGTACACTCTGCCCTATCATCCAGATGATTAGTGAAGATGTAAACCAGTACTGGCCCCAGTAGTGATGCCTGGGGCTCCCCATTAGTGGCCTCCAGCTGGACTTCATACTAATTTTCTATTAACTTCACCATCTACTTATCTAGTCTGTTAAATTCTCAGGTTGTCTATGAGGATGTTGTAGAAGAGAGTGTTGAAAGCCTTACTAAACCAAGACAAACAATATCCACTGCTCTCCTCTCATAAACAGATCATTTCAATGCAGAAGGCCAGAACGTTATCAGGCATGGCTTCCCCTTTGTAATCTATGCTGACTGCTCCCACTCATCTTCTTGCTCTTGCTATGTTTGGAAATGGCTCCAGGGATTATTGTCTCTGCCTCCTTCCCAGGGATCAAGGTGAGGCTGACCAGCCTGTAGCTCCCCAAATTCTTGCTCTTGACCTTCTGGAAGGTAGCAGTGACACTGGCTTTCTTCCAGGCATCAGGAAGACCACCATGAGCTGATGGAGCTTGCAGTGTCATGGCCAGCTCACTCAGCACTCATGGCTGCACGCTGTCAGGTCCCTTGGATTTGTGAATATTCATTCTGTTTATGTGCCTGAACCACGTCTCTGTAGTCCTTCTACAACACCTGTCCTTGCTTCCACCTCTTGCACACTTCCTTTACATGTGTAAGCTCAGTTAGGAGCCCCCAGCACGTCCCTGCAGGCCTCCTGCTGCCTTTGCTCAACTCCCTGTTCATCAGGATCCTTGAAAATCCACCAGCTCTCCTGGACCTCTCATCTCTCCAGGGCCATGTCCCACAGGAACACAGTCCTCCAGCCTAGTGACCTTCAAGACTTTCACCTGGGCAAGGAGCAACTTAATCTCAAGGGGTCAGTTAAAGCTCTGACATGTAAGATTCAAAGCCCACTGGCTGACAGCAACTCAGTATCCACATGTATCTACTCAATTCCCAGCCTTGAAAGCCTCCTGTCCCCATGACTTCCCAAACTTCTTACAGCACATGTAAGTGAGTATTTCCTTCCATTGGTCTCCTTTATCAGTTGTGGCTGTGTAAGAATCAGGAAACAGAGAAAAGGATTTTCTAAACCAATCTTTTTAGCCAATTCACAATTTGTTTCTTCATTGTGGAATGCATTTTTTAACAAAGATGATGTCCAGGAACTGGCAAGCCTGGAGTTTTGGCTGAAACCTGGAGTTTAAGGTGTTCTAAATAACCTGGGGAAAGGGTGACTGGAGAGACCATTAGATCAAATAGCTCCAGATCACGGAAATGGGAATGTCTCAGCCCTCAGCACCATTCCTTTCTACGTGTGTCTCTCTCTGAAGACAGTGCTTATCAAGTAAAAATGCAAGCCAGGAAAGACACAGTGTGGGAGAGAACACAACCACTCCTCAACCAAAGAAAATCGATCAGTGCTAGAAAACCCCATCATAATTATCTCTGGCAAGCCCTACAGCAAGCCCAGGCACTCTACTTAAGTCACTTTGATAAGCAGGATGTGGCAAACAGTGGGAAAACTGCCATTTCCTCAACCAAACAGCTCCCTGGGTTCGTTCCCCATGGCTCACAACATGCACCTCATCAAAACCATAAGCCTGGTTTTGTTGGCCTTCAGGCTCCAGCTCCTGCATCTCAGCTATGCAAGTGTGGCTCAGATGGTCCCCCAGCACCTCTCGGCATCCCTATGGAGGGCTGGCACAGTGAGGATGCAGACATTTGTCCAGATCCTGAAAGGAGCCAGGTGCCCTCCTGCAGACACCCATGTGTCTCTCTGTGGTCCCACAGGAAACAGTGGGTGGCCCTGCTGTGGATGTCTAATGTGGGGCAGATGGATCGCAGTCTGGTGGGAGGATGTGCTGCCATGTCAGCAGACACCACTGGAGGTCAGTGTGAGCTGGCACCGCTGTGGAGAACGACAGGGACCAGAATTCTACTGCCCTGGCTACACTCAGTCCCTTTTTCATAGAATCATAGACTGGTTTAGGTTGGAAGGGATTTTTCAAGGTCATTTAGTCCACCCCCTCTGCACCAAGCAGAGACATCTGCAAGCAGAGCAGGTTGCTCAGAGCCTTGGCCAACCGCAGCTGGAATGGTTCCAGGGATGGGGCAGCGACCACCTCTCTGGGGAACCTAGGCCAGGCTCTCACCATCCTCAGCATAAAATATTTCTTCCTTCTCTCTAGTCTCAATCTCCCTCTTTGAGTTTCAAACCATCCTCCCTTGTCCTGTCCCAACAGGCCCTGGTCAAATGTCTCCCCCCACAGCTTTCTGACAGGCCCCTTGAAGTCCTGGCAGGCCCCCAGAAGGTCTCCCCAGCTGGAGTCTTCTCCTCTCAGGCTGCCCAAGCCCAACTCTCTCCTGCTGGGCTCCCAGCAGAGGGGTTCCCCCCTCGGGTCATTGCTGGGGCTTCTCTGGCCCCACTCCAGCAGGTCCCTGCCCCCAGCAGTTCCCTGTGTCCGCTGTGCTGAGGACTCCAGAGCTGCCCCAGCACGGCAGGGGGGTCTCCCCAGAGCGGGGCAGAGGGGCAGGATCCCCTCCCTGTCCTGCTGCCCATGCTGCTGGGGTTGCAGCCCAGGCTGCCAGGGGCTTCTGGGCTGTGAGTGCACGGGGCTGGCTCCTGTTGAGCTTTACATCCAGCAATGTGGATGAAAGCATATGGTCTCCCCAACCCCTCTTGAGACAGCTCTGGACGCAGGAGCTGTTTGAAAGGTCCCTCATTTCCCCACAATCACTGACAAGGAGGGATACACACAAGCACATGCAGACACACACAATTTTCATGCATGGTTAGGGAGCTCACAAGGGCAAATGATGCTCCAGCTTGGAAAGGGGCAGAATCAGGCTCCAAACCTCCTGCTTGGAAAGGGGCAGAATCAGGCTCCAAACCTCCTGCTGGACGCACCGCGCTGCATCAGCGACCACAGTGGACTTAGGGGCAGAGTCCCTCCACGGGCAACAAGGGCTGAAAAATTCACCACAGTCACGCCACACTTCAGCAAAAGGACTACAGAAAATGAGTAAGATGGTTAGCAAAAAGGATCAGCAAATTAAATCCTTAGAGGTGCTATGGAGACCACCAGAAAAGACAACGCTGGGCATGTGGTCTGTTAGGAAAGGTGTGAGGAAGGGTGGAAGGAAGCTGGTCTGGCTCAGTGTTGTTGCATTGAGATAGATTAGCACAGCGGGCTAAGAAGGTGTGATTCAAAGAGCCAGATCTGCTTCCAAACACGGAAACCAGAACCTCAGTTGGATTAAATGCAGTAATTTAATCAGGCAGGCCAGGAATCACTGGTCAAAGGCATCAAAACTGGCACCAAACCCTTTCTGCGATGGCAGGCAGTCCATGGGGCACCAATGCGTGGAAAGAGCACTCGAAGAGCTGTTTGCAGAGAGGATTATTTGCATCAGAGGTAGCAGAGGTGGGGACTCTTTTCCATGCAGGTTCAGCCTTTCCCTCAGGAGTCTTTGGGCTCATTCCAACCACCCCCCCACCTCTGCCCTGGGGAAAGGATTCCCAGTGGCAATCCAGGGGAAGGGGAGCAGACTCACGGCGGGCTGGCAGAGCAGGAGGCGGGTGTCAGCAACGTGGGGCGGGGGCGGCTGCAGCTTGGCACACACAAACATCACATTGGAGAAGAGCCGGTGGAAGTGGAGCTCCACTTGTGCCCCGCAGGGGAAGGTCCCCGTTTTGCTCAGCAGCTCTGGAAGGAAAAGCCAAGAGGTGTCACCTCCTCAGAGAGTCCCATCAACATCTCCTTGCAGACTGTTGTCCCCAAAGGGTACCGGGACCCCCAGCCCTCTTCTCTCCCCACACCTGGTAGCCCTCCCCGTGTCCTGCAAGTCTCACCATGGCCACATCCCCAGTGCTCAGCAGTTGCTCCCACAGGGCAGATGGGGTCTGTCAGGGACCGGGCATCCTTCAGAGTGTGTTTGATCTCCATCACTTGCTTCCCAGTGACTAAGGGATCCCGGCCAATGTCTAGGGGAGAGAGTTTGGAGGCACAAAAGTCTTTCCAGGTTCTTTATTTATCTCCCTGTCTTTCAGACCCTACATCAGCAGCTCTATTCTGCTGCCAGGTTACTAAAAACTCACACGGGGCACAGCTTGTGGTTTCCTGTGGTTTGGTTTTTAGGGAGGGATGGCTGGCTGTGGTGGGGTGGCATGGAGCCACTTGGTTTCTGCTGCTATCTCTCCTCATCCCTGCTACTGAAGCAAGTGGTTTCTAGCTCATCCCTTACCTTCTAACACATCCTCTAACATATGTGTAACCTTCTTCTCCTGCAGAATATGTTTCTTCAGATATTTCATGAAGATCCCAGAACTGAACTCCCCATCCTGCAACTCATAGGCTTCTGCATCTTCACTCCTGCAAGAGCAAAGACTCATCCTCACATTTCTGCAATGGGCACAAAGCCCTGAGCTTGGTGACTCCATCCAGACTCTGTTGGCTGAGTCCAAGCTTGCTCCTTAAGCAGTGACACGAAGTGCTTGGTTTTGGCCCAGGAGAGTGTGGGAAGGGCACGGGATGGGAAAAAGCAGCAGAGAGAGATGGAAGGGGACAGTGCAGTCTCTTTTGCCAGCTTCGGTGGGTGACAGCAGTTGAAAAGCCAGCAGAACTGGCACAGAGCAATACACAACACTCAGCATCTCAGGAGGCTTCAGGTGACCTGCTAACAGCACATGTGCCTTGGGAAAGGACAGCTGAAAGAAGCTTCACACATAACCTGTAACTAATGCACAGGCTGTCACTAGTGATGTCAGGAGGAAGGGAAGAAGTGCCTGAACAGCAAACGCTAGACGTGGAGGGTGAGAGCCACAGGAAATGTGAGAGAAGCCCTCTCAGGCCTCCCAAGCCTCCGTAAGGATGCGAGATGTGGCTGTGCCAGCATTTGGTCCTGTGGCAGGGTGCGGGGACAGCAAAGTGCACTTACGTGGCGTAGCCATAGACGGTATTGCCCCAGGGCTGCAGTGGCTGTACCTGGGAGAGGGCACACCCCGGGTTGTACCTGGAAGAGGAGATGGAGGCATGAGTCAGTGTCGAGGACATCCACCAGCACGGACCTGGAGAGTACAGAGCCTGCGTGATCCATCTCCTATGGATGGCAATAAGAGTTATAGAGTGGTTTGGGTTGGAAGGGACCTTAAAGATAATCTAGTTCCAACCTCCCTGCCATGGGCAGGGACACCTCCCACTAGATCACGTTGCTTAAGGCCTCATCCAACCTTGTCTTGAATACATCCAGTGTAGGGGCATCTACAATGTCCCTGGGCAACTTCAATCTCCCTTCTTCCAGTCTGAACCCCTTACCCCTTGTCCTATCATTACAAGCCCTTGTAAAAATACCCTTCCCAGCTTTCTCGTAGGCCCCCTTCAGATACTGAAAAGCCACTAGAAGGTTTCCCCAGAGCCTTCTCTTCTCCAGGCTGAATAACCCCAGCTCTCTCAGCCTGTCCTCGTAGGGTCAGAGGGTTGCAGCCCTCTGATCATCTTTGTGGCCTACTCTGGACCCACTCCAACAGGTCTATGTCCTTCTTGTACTGGGGACTCCAGAGCTGGACACAGTAGTCCAGGTCTGGTCTCATGAGACCAACCCTCATGTCAACTCTACCCACTCATATAACCTGGGCAGCAACAGAGGCTAAAGTTTGGAGTCCTGTGAAGAATACAAACCCCAAGGAAGTGGGTAGACAGGGTATTGACCTGTCTACACTGGTAAGCTGCTCCCCACCCTGCCAGTGAGCCTGAAGCTGTGGGTGCAACCTGTGCCTCCTCCCTCCTGGGCCTGGCTTTTAACAAATCCAGGCAGCAGCACAGTGTGGAGAACCTACAGGTTCATTGTGGCCCAAGGAAAAAGTCCTTAAAGAAGTCAGAGGTGTGCACACCGCATGGCTATGGCTCAACAGCCTGTCCCAGGGGTCTGGGGTAACCCATAGGTCCATTCCAGACCATGCACGTATCTTCTGCCCCTGCAAACCAAAGCACACTAGAGCAAATGCACCTCCAGATCTCACCAAGAGGTGGGATCAGGACACGCCCCCAGGTCCTGAAGCCCAAAACAGATCCTGGAACCTTGGTCTAGATGCAGCTCAGTGAGTGTAGACCCTGTTATTTCCACAATCAGGTAGATCCAGGGTGACTCCTGGTTTCCACTGCAAACAGACATCATGGCTGCATTTAATGGACAAGGCTTGCCCATCTGACTGCAGCCAGACTGAACAGCACGGGAACCAGCTGCCTCCAGTTTACACCAGTGACTTGGGGCTGCTCCCAGCAGCACAGGGATAAGAGCCAGGCTCAGAGGCAGTGTTGTCCTGTGTTAAATTCCATAACAGCTTCCTGGGACTGAAGGTAGCATGCTAAGTAGAGTGGAAGGGATGGTTGTAATCTCCAGCAGCCAGCACATTACCTGCTGCTGCTGGTGCAGTCTGGAGATGTTGAATGGCAGTTTTCTCAAGATGATCAGAAGAGAAAATGTAGAAAAGGAGATATGCTTCTAAATATGAACATTGGAGCAGAGAGATCAATCTGCTCCTCAGCTGCTCCTAAATGAAATGCAGCAATGTGTGATTCCAGCTCCAAGGAGAAATTAGACATGGGATCCCAAAATAAGCTGAGGTCCTGCTGTCCCCATGCTAAGGACATCTACCCAAAGATTTGCAGACCTGGACTGATGCAAACATTTTGTGACAGCACCATCCACAGCTCCAGGAAGGCCAGGTAGTGTGGAATACAATCCCCTGCCCCAGCAGAAGACAAGCTTCAGCAGAGGCATTTCCAGAACATGGCCAAACAGAGGGAGATGCCTGACAGCAGAGAAGGTAGCAGCACTCCCTCCTGCTTCAGACCCCAAAAAAGTCTCAGTTACACAGCACGTCTCACGCAATCTGTTTCTGATCTGCATCCCAGATAGGAGATGGTGTCCTACTCCTGTCCTAAGTGACACATGCTAGAAACCCTCATAAATCAATGAATTCCTGGAAGAGGTAATCAGACCCACCCAAAATCAGCACATAAATGTCCAAGGCTATACACGGGCTCCCTGTTCCTTGTTCCTCCTCTGCTGAAGCTGAACATCTGCTACCACTTGGCAAAGGGAGATGAGTTTCTCATTGCCTTGGCATTTCTGATGCCTGCATATGGGGTGAGGAGATACTCTGGGTGAGTTCCCTCTTTGCACAGACACAGCTCCCCCTGGTTCAGGCTCTGCTGAGGAAACTGTCAACTGGCAGCATCAGTCCAACCAAAAGGGTGTTGGGAAAGGAGGCCCCGGAAGCCTTGTTTAACATAGCAGCGTAAACACACACAACTAGGAAATTCAGAGGCTTTGCTGAGCTGAACTGCTGGCTTCTTGAGAAAAATGAGCTCACAACAGAGCTTCTACAGCAATTCCCTACAAGCCCAGGGATAACACCTACTGCACAAAGTGCTGGGCTCGCTGTGGGAAAGAGGAGGAAAGAAGTGTGAGGTCTGGGGGAGGAGAGTGAAAACCAGCCACACAACCATGCCTGAACATTGCAGCAGATCCCACACCCCTTCCTCTTCCCAAAGTGCCATTAAGATTCCACGGAGACGGCTGGTAATGCCAAAAGAGGAAAGGCACCTCCTCATCACACCCTGCCCTCAGATGGGCTACCAGAAGCGCAGAAGCACACTATCCCATCTCCAAGGGAGCAGGCCAAGGGAGGAGGACAGTCTTTCCACAGACAGAGGGGAAAAAACTGATCTCTGTCCTCTGCAGCAGCCTGTGTCCCACGTCACGACATGACCACTTCAGAAACATTTAAGACCAGTAAAAACAAAGTAGCCCAGCTTTAAATATTTTCCTCGTCATGTTGCATTCTTCTCACTGAGACATCAACAAAAACACAGCCAGAAGAAGACAGGCGACCTAAACAGTCCCAGCCTGAGCACGTGGGCAACACGTAGCAGGAAAACATGAGGTCAGCAAGATGCACCTACAACCTGCCAGGTCAGGTGATTCAGTGCAGGAGGCTGAAACACAAAAAGACAAACCCTACACTGAGTTTCAGTCAATTATGCCAGGGCAGGGTCACCCCTCTGCAGGCTTTAGGTGACTTGCCTGTGTTTGCCAGGCTTCTTCACCCTGAAAAATCATGGGAGGGTCTCCAGCCCCTTCTTTCCAGCAAATTTCAGGCAGCATCTGATGCTCTCTGAACCTAACACATGACCAGTGGGTCTTCTCAGGACATCCTGGAGGACCTGACAGTCTGGCTGTTTTTATGACACACCCTTATAAACTTTCAGAGAGGCCTGGGTTCAGCAGCACAGCGGGGGACGTGGACCTGGCAATCCACAGGAACATTTCACGTGCTTGTGCAGAAGCCCATGCCTGAAGCTGGGGTTGAGGCTGGCAGCTGTTTCCCCCCAACCCCTCAAAACACCATGTTCTGCCCATCCCAGGGGATGAAGAGGGGAGAGCAGCCTACCATTTCCTGCAGGTGTCCAGCAGGATGAGATTCAGAGCCGTCTGCTGCTGTTGCATCTTCTGGAGAATCCTCTGCACGCTGATGCAGTTCTCAGGGGCGTAGGGTTGTGGAGCATCAACAGGGACCATATAGTTCCTCCCTGAATGTTCATACCCGTGCCCAGCATAGTAGAATAGAGCTGGGAACGAGGAGAGGAGAGGATGAGTTACTGCAGGCCTGCAACTAACTCCCCATGGCCGTGTCCCATCTCCTGCTCTGAAGGGATACTGGTGCAGGGCAGACCTAGACGAGCAGCACCTAGGAAACTGAAGCTATGTTGACTTCTCAATTTCAGCTTTTTTCCCCATCCATTCCCTTCAGCAGAGTTGGAAGCAGTCCTGAGAGGCTCTCCTGTACTTGTTCCCAGCACTGTTCATCAGGAGACTCCAAAGTGACTGGGATTACACCTTTCCATAACCATCTGTGCTACACAACCCAAGCTCAGCATCTACCAAGCTGAACACCACCTTCATACAAAGATTTGGTTCATCATTCTTTGCATGAATGATGACAAAGTATCCTACCATGATGAAAAATACATTAACAGCCTTCTAAATGAGGAGCTCCTCAGTTTCCTAGCTTTGGAAGAGAGACTAGCAATGGATTAGGTGATGGGAAATGCTCTCCAGGTTTCAAAGGTCTGCCTGTATTGACACACCTCTAAGCTGGTGAAAAATGAGACAGAGAGATGAGTTCTCCAGCTGTCCAGGACACATGGATGACGTGCCTCAACAATCTCACACCAGATACCAGCTCTGTGGTGGGGAAGGAGTCAGACTCATCCAGGTGCTGGTGGGAAGTCCAATACCCAACAAGAATTTTGGGTTCAAGTTCTACTCTTAAGCATGTGAAGCTCAGTAATGGTTTGTGACCAAAACTAAGGAAAGCCAACACTAAAGAGCTTGGCACAGCCCAAGCTGGTGCTTCTCTCCAAGCCCTGTGTTCACTGAAGGACTTTCCATTGGTACAGGAATCCCACTTGGGCTGTAGTTTCCAGAAAATAAGCTGCACAGTGTCTAGCTACCCTGTTCTCAGCACCAATGCCGCTGCTCGGGGGATGCTGGCAAAAGCAAACTCGAGGAACTGAAATGGGCTAAAAATAGCTCTGTGAGGTGATGCAAACAGTTGCACTACTGCAGCTGAGGGACAGTGGAGAGCTCAGAAATGGGAACAAGTGGCTAAGAGGCACAAGCAAGAGACATTCTGCAGTCAGCTTTGCTGCCAAAGCCCACACTTCACTGAGTAACCTCTCGTCTGTTTTCCCTCCACTGTTCCTGCCCCTGTTGGTTGCTGGACACTTGGTTTGATCTCTGATGCTGCAAGTGATGTAGTGAACGGGGCAGGAGCTGAAGGACTGGAAGCATGATATCATCATATGGAGGAAGGAAACACAATGTCATAGTAAAAAAGTTGGTTTCTATTCTCATGGGACAGTGGAAAGTTACTCAAATGGTTGTTTCCACAGGTGCTCACAAGGTTTGAGTTCCTCTTTTCAAGTTTGGCCCCTCACGTAATTGATCACTGATGGGTTCCATCCCTCTGCCTCTCCTTTATGTCAAAGTGAGGTGATGACATCCATCACCAGGCAGTATCACTGACTCTTGGGAAAAAAAATGAAATTTATGGAAAAGCTCACAAAAAAATGATCCAACCATTAAATCTTCTATCTTTTGATGTCTTGGGCACCCTTAGTGCACCACCAACTGTCCCCCATGCTATATAAACCTCAAGGATCTGCATTCAGATCAAAACAGACCAAAGCTTCACATCAGCTGAGAAACTTTGCAAACATCTCCTGGACTTAATCTCTCCTCCCAAAGGGGAAAGCCAGCAGTTTGCTTAGAGAAGGAAAGGATTTTTTTTATTCTGAGCCAACATTTCAATGCTCATCCCACATCTTGTGAGCCAAAACTGCCGATCAGAGACAAGCTTCCGAGGACCAAATTAAAAAGGGGAAGCTCCAGGCACTGTTTATAATACAGGAAATGTCAGTTTCATTAAGGCATGACGGATATTCCTCATATTTCACTTGCAACTTTCTGCTCTTGTTGGATTTCTGACATATTGTTTTGACTTGTGACTTTTTTAAGATGCTTGAAATAACATCTGGGGGGATTCCTCCTTCACCTGAGGGCTGCATAATTAGACAGCTCAGGGGATGTCTGGAGCCTTCAAAAATCCTCTGCAGCTTCTCTAAGAGATCTGGAGGGAAAGCAGCCAGAGGAGCCACCACCTTCACAGAGTGAATTAGAGAAGCCTTTGGATAACCTTGAACGTGCAGCTATACAATATTCCTGTGCCTGAACATAAAGACAGTTTTTGCTCTGGGCTTAAGAAACCTCAAGGTTCAAGAATAAGGACAAAGTGCTACCCAGGCATCATTTTGGCTGAGGCTGAGTGCTGGCTGAACAGCAAACCTGCAGGTAAGGGCCTGAGGTCACAGCACACACCACACCAAAGATGAGCCAGCACTGACTGGGGACAGAGCTATGCTAGGAGATACAAGATCACCAGGGAGGCTGTCACCATTCTCCATGGCACTGAGTAGATGACACTTAGATCCTGTGTCCAGTTTTAGGGACTTCTGTTCAAGAGGAAGACAGGGAAGCTGGAAAAAGGCCAGCAGATGTTGGAATGTCCAGCAGCTGGAAAAAGGCCAACCAAGATGTTGAGGCTTAGGGCCTGGGATGAGAGGGGGAAGTAGGTGGGCTAGGATGGTCTGAAGACATGATGTGTGCCAGCAGAAAGACACGTGAAAGCCCCAACATCTCTGCTGCTTCAAAAGACAGTGGGCCTTACTTCTTGGACATGCTGACAGGTGTGTCTGGACTAGACCAGAGTCTCTCACTTCATCCCAGAGACAGTCAGGTGAAAACCAGCCAGCCCTCTCTCCCCAGCTCCCTCTTTCACTCCATATGCCTATGCAAAGCTCTCCTGACTTCAACTATGGTGGCTGCTACACAGGAGATGGCACCTCCAGATTCCCCAAGTAAGAAGAACCAGGTAGAAGCACCAGCATGCGTCTGTGCAGGCACATGTCCAAAACACACACGTGGATGTACAGGACCAGCTATCACAGCCATCCCCGGGGGCTTTGTAGTTTTAACAGGCTGCCAAGGTTGTTCCTGGAGCTGCTGTCTCACCGCTATCTTCTCATGCATATGAGTTATATGAATCCTAAGCTTGTTGGTCAGTTCTAGATGTTTATCCTGGAGCTAGCGCCTTGAAAATCTGATACATGGGGTTTAGGAGGAGTCGTTAGCTTCTTCTAAATGTGCATTTTTATTAACAAGTTAATGTCAACGATGTGTACTTCACCTGGTTCTTTTTTATTTCTTGTGTAAGGAAAACAGCTGCAGAAATGCTGGAATACACATCACAACAAGAGGCACCACACTTCAGAGGGAGAAACCCTGGGGCAATCAGCAGGCAGACTGACCCAATGCCCCACCATTAAGTCTGGATGCCACCAATTACATCAAGAGTCCTGGACTCAATCACACTGCTGGGACCAGCCTGCACCAGGGTTTGCTGTCTCCAAATAATAGCAGAACACTCAGCTTAGAAAGCTGTAAAGAAAACCACCATCCAGAGCAGGCTATGCCTAGCAAGCACTTGAGGTTTATAAGGTCCAGCAGCTCAGCTGTTAATGTTTTCCTCACCATTGCACAAAATCAATTTTGCCAGGAAGGATCAGTGTCCACAAATGCAGAAAAGCACCAGAAGTTTAAATAAGGCATGACAACATGAACGGTTTTGCTGTTTCCAAAGCTTTTTTCTCTCCGATGCTAACGAAAGCAAGGGAAGCACCAAGGATGGAGGGAAAGGAAAATGGCAACGTCCATGAGAAACACACAGCAGCCCCCCAAGGATGACTCTGGCCTGGGAGAGAGGGTAAAGCCTGAGATGCGAGGGGATTTCAGAGAGCAACCGCAAAAGGAAGCTGGAGATGAAGTCATAGGAATACGCTGTCATCAGATGACACAACCGTGTCCTGCCTTTCCCCGCCAGCTCAGCCTCCCTGAGTGAGTCAGTGCTTCCCAGAACGAGGGGACTTCGCAGCATTTCACTCGTGGTTGTGCCCCCATCCATTGCACAACCTCCAAACCTCACGCTGAGTGACTGGCTGGAATTGGCCTGCGCTGACTTTCACTGTCCGAGTGCCCTGGTATGCCACACGGTGAGGAGGGTGGTGAAGATAAGCCTCATGCTGAGGTTTGGAAGCAAAAAGAAAACCATCTGCAAGGTGTTTTCAGGCTATCTGTCAGGTTGCGAGAACCTCAGGAATTCCAAAACTACTTCCGCCAGCAAATCCAAACACCTGCTTTGAGACCCACAAGATCTACTGGTTGGTTTTATGTTTGGGGAGCGCTTCCCATGGAGGACTGCTCGAAGCCCAACCTCAAAGCCATCTGCAGCTGGGAATGCTCTTCTGCAGAAAGGCTGTTAGAAGCCAAAATTAGACCATCGGGGAAGAGAAACAAGGAAATCATGGCCAGCTGCAGCAGTCATAGCTCAAAAGATGCTCTCACCCCCCCAAAGGAGAGTGATGGAGGCAATCAACAGTCAATCAATTTTGTCATCTAAGGAAAACCAAAACACCTTCTCCCATTTGCCATAAGAAGCACTGGCTCCCCAAAACCTCAGCATGACACCATGCTGTTGGGAGTTGGAGGTGAGCCACACAATGCAGAAACACCTACTTTGCTTGCCTGTAACCCAGCCAAACTGAAAGGTCTTTATCTGGTGGCTTCTCCCAAGCCTGGCACTGCCGCAGACCATGCTGCAGGTCCTCTCTGACAGAGGAAAGTTCAATTTCTTCTCTTAAAATTCAACAGCTGTTGAGAAAATTGCCAAATCCCTGGCATTGGACTGCTGCTACCTGCACATCAGCTGCTGCCCACTGGGCACTGGCAGGTAGCTGGGCTGGCTTTGCCTTACCATAGACTCCCTTCCCCAGGAGCTGCAGGAACCGACTGACTGCTGTCACCATCTCAGCCTTCTTCAGATCCAGAAGGGAGACAACCTGGAAGCCCAGCTGTTCCAGAAGAAGCCTCAGCTCAAACACATCCCTGACAGGAGCCATGAGGTTGGGATGATGCCAGTAGCAGTTGTTGCCCACCAAAAGTGCTATTTTGCCTGTAGCTAAAAGAAACACAGAGTGACAAAGCAGTAAATGCCCAGCAGGAGGCAAGGTCTCACCTCCTTCTCTTGGGGTGAGGATCCAGGAGGTATTTCAAGGAAGGGAAAGGATATATAATGTGAACGATGCTTTGAAATTCATCTGGCGGGCATGAGACTGGGTTACTCGTTAGGAATAATCTTATGCTATTTGTGGAGACAAATGGGGGTTGGCAGGGGATGGGACTCATCCTGCACCTTGCAGCTCTGATCCCAAATGCCCAGAGCCCATGACAGTGTGGACGCAAAGGCTTGAAGTGTTTCCTCCAGGAAAAGTACTGCCCCGTCCTCCCATCCACCCCAGACCCTGGCTTTTAACTAAGGGAATCATTGTTCAGGAATTAAAAAGGACAATACTCACCAAAAAACTTCTCAGGGGAACACGTACCTGGAAAAGAAAGCAGGAAATTACAAGCCCGTGCCCAGCGCCACCTCCCATCACAGGTCTGAAAATTGCTCCAACATCCCCCAGCAACGCAAAGCTGGATCAAACTCCCCGGAGCATCCACTCAAGCAACACTCCTCAGGCAAGTTCTTCATAGCCTGGTCGCTAACTTTAAAGACACTGGTCGGGTGGCTTTAGGAGGACTGATGAAATCCTGCCTGATTTATGAAATCCTGAGCAGCTGGGAAGCAAAGCTTGGAGAAGGAGCAGGCCAGGGGAAAGAGGGTCAGCACTTTCATGAGCTCCACAAGCAATGCTGCCTCAGTACTCCCAGCCTCTTAAAATCATTATTACCCTAACAGTTCCAGCTTTTGCTATTTAAATGAAAAATAAATTTAAAAAATCCAGCCCCAGAGAAAATCCTAAAACCTTACAGGTTCTAAGAGAAGAAATTAAGGACATTATTTTTACTTGCATAAATCTCATAGGTCTGGAAGACCTTTGGCACCTGAACCAGCACTGCTAATGCACCAGGGATGCTTCGGAAGCCACTGGAACAAGCCCCTTCATCCTTTTCTGCCTCTGACAGATCTGCCTGTTGCATGTTAAAGCTGCCCAGATGTAACACGGTGAACTCAACCCAATCCAGTTCCCTTTCTTGCTGCCTGTCCCCTCTGGATGCCGTTTTGCCAGCCATGAGGGAGGGAGAGAGCTCTTTGGTTTTACAGTTTACAATTTGCACTCTGATGGCACAGAAAGATCTCTAGATGGAGTAAAGAGCCAGCAAAGCCAGCCCAGGCTATTCCTATCCCAAGGAAGAGGCAGAAGGACAAAGCAGGTGTCACACTGAAGGTGGAGCATGCCGGAGGCTCTGGGGACTCATCTCCACCCTGGGATCCATCAGCTCATGCAGCATCAGGCCTGGGCTGCCAGCATGAGTGGCCTGAACCATCCCGAAATAAACGGCTCAGATCATCAGGCCCAGGATATCCAAGGTGTGAAGCTGTGCTCTGCAGGCTGCTCCCATGACAGCCACCGCACTGCCAGGACACTCCATCTTCCCTGCAGAGCTCTATAGTGCTTCTCTACCCTGAAGTCTTAGCTTCAGCTCCCTGCAGAAGCAGTATTTAAAACCAGTGGCCTTTCTTTTTGTTACTCAAAGCGTGCAAGGTCCATCCAAGCCAGTGGAAAGTGCACGTGTCAGAGCCACACATCCTACTTCCTAACCCCACATCCCAGAGTCCAGCCTCTCCTGCACAGAGGGAGCCACAGGGTGACACAAGCTCCTTGTTCATCAGCTGGGCACTTCCAGGCGAGAGCACTGAATTCTTTTCTGCCCTCTAATTACTTTTCATACTAGAAGCTGATTGGCAGCGAAGCAGACACAGGTTGGCTCTGCTCACCTATGTGAATATCCACAGCATTGGTCCACTGCTCTCCATGGCTATTGGAAGCACAGCAGAGGTACGTGCCAGAGTCACTGACCTTTGCACGGGTGATCTAGAGAGATCAGAAGTTAAATCACGTTATTTATGGTGGAAGTTTGAGGCCCCCTGCCAGTATGTGAAAGGCACCCACGTTCCTGGAATGTTTTTTTCTTGCTGTTTGCTGAAACCTCATTCCTTGCCTCAGAGAGCTAAGATTTCCCATTATTTCGTCTTTCTAAGAAGCTCAGTAAGGCCACACACTAAGGTCTGCTGCTGACCTCAGTGCCTAGAGTGCCAGAATCCCCTGCCCAAATACCTTCCTTTCTCTCTCCAGCAGCCCTGAAACCCTGTGTCATAGACACACTCTGCCCCAGGAGCCACACTGGGAGGACAATGCGTGGCCAACATGGGAACGTTGTCTGGTTTATCCCCTAGATTACATTTTCTAGATTTCTGATCATGCCCATTGCTCTCTTCTGGCAAGTTTTCTATTCTTATCCACCTCTCTTGATATGGGATAAGAGTCAGAGCAGTACTGCCTGGTGAGGACCTCTGTAGTTTTCCAGCCCAGGCTCCTGCTCAGAGAGGAAATAAAGCCACCACTGGGCCAGGTTGCCCATGGCTTTGTCTATTTGAGTGCTGAAAACATAGAAGGACAAAGATCTCACTGCAGCAGCACCACCCACCTCCAAATGAAAATCTTCTTCCTAATCCCCACCCTGAACTTCCTTGTGAAAAGTGCAGTCTGAAGCAACCATCCTCTATATTAACCATCACTCCTGAGAAAAAACCGGATCTCATCTTTGTTAGCCTTCACATGATGCCCCAAGAGGAAATCCAGTTTTCTTGCTCCAAGAAGACAGCAATGATTTACATTCAACCAGTGACCCAAAATAAACCCAGACCTTTTACTGCCTCCCTGCCTCTGTTCTGTCAAGACTAACCACTTCTCCTAGCTTTCCTGCAGGCAGACAGCACTCCCGCAGCTTCATCACTCCACAATCCCCTGCACAGACATACGATAGCTGTTCTTGTGTCACTGCTGCAAAAAGGCACAAGAGATGTGCTGAGAGCCCTCGACGCATCTATGAAGCAGTTACTTCTCAGGGAAACATCCTCAGCTTTGAAAGAAGCTCATAAAGTGTATTCCCTCTTCACCTGGAGTCCTTCAGTCAGTTATCAAAGCAACAGGGGCCGTACATGGAGTGGTTTCTCACAACACTGCAGCACACCAGGCTGCTTCTCAAGGGCTGAAGAGATGAGGAGGACAGGCAAGGAGAGCCTGCTCTCTGCTGGCATTCACCTGAGCACCCAGATCAAAGCACAAGCCAGGCTTAAGGACCTGCCACCTATCATGGCCAGCATGACAAGAACATAATTCTCATCAGTTTCTCCAAGGCTTCTGAGGCTCTCCCACGCCCACCATCCAGCTACGAGCTTCTCCCATCACCCACTTCAGCAGCCAAAGTTCTCGAACTATTCCAAGGCAACATTACCCAGAGTTTTTTTCTCTTCTGGTGTTCCAGCGGGTTCCCATTCCGGTACCATTGGTAGCTGGGGGCTGGGACCCCCATGGCAGCACACTGCAGCTGTAGCGGCTTCCCCACCTCCACCCTCTGCTCGGTGGGGTTGAGGACAATGACCGGTTCTCCTCGCCAGAGCAGAGGGGGCAGTCCTGTGAAGCAGCGACACAGAATCGGTCCTCCGTCCACGAAGACAGAAAACAATGGTCATATTTCCCCCCCCCCGTGTGTATTGCCAAAAAAGTGAGAAGAAAATCCACCTGCACCAAGAGATGTGGTCCCACAGGGCAGCTGTGGTTGTAGTGTCACTGCTGCACCCCTCTGCTTTGGGAGCAGGGAAGCCTTGAGAGTGACACCTGCGATAGCAAATGACACACCAAGGCCCTGCCTCTGTAGCAGGTACTTGCAGCCAGAGTTACTGGGACCATGACAGGGACATGAACCATCCAGAGGATGGAAGCAGAGGTCTGGCTTAGACCTGCAGACTCACATCGCTGGAGCAATCCTTCTGTATTGTGATTTTTGAGCAAGGACACACTGCCCCAGGAACTGCACAAGATCACCAGGCACAGCATAACATATGGAAAAGCTGGAAGACACTCTCGTACCTCTGGCGACACACTGATGGACCTCCACCTTCACCCAGTCAGAGAAGATGACATTTTTGTGGCGGTCATTGATTCTGCAGGTGTAGAGTTGGGTCTGCTGCGCAGTGACAGGCAAGTCTTCCTGGGTAGCACCAGGAATCTGCTGGCAGGCAGACTAAAAGGAAAACACAAGCAGTGGGCAGCGAGCCCCCTCTCATCGCTGGTAGTAGAAGGCACCAGGAGGCCCCTTGTAAGTGCAGGAAAAGTGGAAATCCCCAGTCACCTCCCCTCCTCCAGCTGCGGGGATGCAGGAGAAGGCGCCTTCCCATTGCACATCCCTCCCCGGCATCCATGGAAGCCCTCGGCATGCACATGCATCCTATCCCCCTCTCCTTCCTGCCTCCCGATTCCCACAGGTCTGCCTGCAGAGGCCCAGCTCCATCACCACAGTCAGGGACCCTACCCAGGGCCACCTCTGCTCCCGCAGTTACCTGGTGCTGACAAAACCACTGGTATTGCAGCGAGGTGCCGCCCTTGGCTCTGCACCGCAGCGTGAAAGAGTACCCCACCGGGACCGAGATGGAGACCGGCTGCTCGGTGATGGCAATGGCTGCGGAGGGACAGGCATGCGGACGTCAAAACAACCCGGTGGGCGCAACCCGGGGGGAGGGGCTTCGCTGCCACCCTTCGCCCTTGAGTGGCAAGAGGGGACCCCCGGCACCCACCCCGCCCGCGAGGGCGAGAGGTGCGGAAGCCCAGGG